GGCGCTAAGGTTATTGTGAGCAGTCAGACGCCTAATAATCCGTGGGAGGGCGGCAGTTTCTCGTATACGGACGGTGGGAGGTTTGTTGGGTATGCGAGGGACGTGGCGAAGGCGCTGGGGAGCAATGCTATGTATGTGGACCATGGAGCGTACACGGCGGATATCTTCAAGACGCTCGGTAAGGCGAAGGTGGATGCTTTCTTCCCGGTGGATCACACGCATCCCAGTCCGGCTGGCTCGGACGCTGTTGCGAAGGCTTTTGTTAAGGGCATTCAGTGTGGTGGTGGGGGTTTCTTGAATGGGTTTGTTAAGAATGCTACTGCGAGCATTCCGGGGAAGTGCTTGTAGAATCACGAGGAAGAGAATAGTTTTGAACTTTTATGCATATATTTAACTGCTGAATGGAAAAGAAATTAAGACTAAGCGCCGTCTAAGTATCATCCAACCACTATCCCAGTCTTCGTCATAGCCACTTCTCACCCTTGCCAAGATGAGAGTAGAAAGCACCACCATCTCCATTAGCAACGCTGGAGGCTTCAACAACACTCAGCACAGCCTTGACCGACTCTTCTGGTGTGATCGGGCCCTTGAATTTTGGTGCGTATGCTGCAAACTTCTGCGACATGATTCCAAGCTTCTGCTGGTCTTCCTCCGAAAGATCGGCGTAGACATCCGTGCCCACGACTCCAGGAGACATGGCCAAGAACAAGACTCCGTCTTTGGCGTACTCGGCGCTGAACTTTGCGACCGCCATGTTGACTGCCGCTTTGCTGATGGAGTAAGGCGCGTCTTCGGAGATGTTGTACTTGCGCACTAGCTCCATGTCGCCCATGCCGCTGGAGATGGCGACGACCTTTTTGACAGTTCCCTTGAGAACGAGTGGCATGAAGAGGTTGAAGAGGTGGATGTTACCGGTGACATTGACACTGAACTGGCGGGTGAGGCTGGCTGTGAGTTTCTCTGGGTCATTGCCGAGAACGGAGAAGGAGTCGAAGCCGCCCTCTACCAGACCGGCATTTGCGATCAGGTAGTCAATACCTCCACCAGTAATCTTGGCTGTAGCAGCGGCGGCACTCTTGAGCGACTCGTAGTTCTCGAGATCGCCCTGAACGAAGTGGATGTTGCTTCTGTTCCAAGAGGCGACCTTGGCTTCGCTGGCGGCTACGTTGCGGACAAGGCCGATGACGACGTTGTTGGTGTTGCTGGAGATGTTGTCGAGGAAGGCGAGGCCGATTCCTCGGGATGCTCCGGTGATGAGGTAGGAAGGCATGTTGGTTTGCTAGTGAAGATTGTGAGGATTGAAGTGTCTTGAAGGTTGAGTGTTTGGAAGGCTGTGAGTTATGATGATTGAGTGTCTTGCAGGTTGAGGGTGGTGATGATTGAGTGTCTTGTAGACTGGAGTGTTTGATACTGAAATGTGAGTTGATGCTGATACTATCGAGGCCGAGCAAGCTCCTTTATACCAACTCTATGAGACGATGCCATTCCTCCGTATTGGAGCGGCAGGAGTGTTCCTACCATCATGGCTTCGTAAGCAACAATGCTGAGCTCGCAGATTTTGACCACAGTTCTGTTTGAAGGCATATGCGGTCGACTAAGCTTGCCGCGATGAATGCGCCAGAGGGATCGTGCCTGAGACCTGCAGGAGATGGTTTCACGATGTATGCTTGGCGGTAACGAGGCTGACAAAGACCTCGCAGATAGTTGCTTCACGTCCATTCTGGGTATAGCGCTGCCTTAGTCTCTCGCGCGTGATTCGTTGACAACTGCGGGGTGGGGGGTTTTAGGGCCTCCACGGACTGGGCCATCTCCCACCTGCGACTCCCGCCTAGCATTTCCAACGCCCTGCTGTTCGGTTACGTGTTTCTCTTGTGAACTCTTGATTTCTAATATGCGGCGTCACGATCTCTTTGCAGCACTTACCGGAAAGGTGCACTTCCTTGTCTGCCCCGAGTCCTACGCGATACCTATCTAGGTAGGATGACTGCGACGAAGGGGTGTTGGACATGCAAAGGTAGTGCTTGATCCCATGAAGTCTTCGGTATTGTGCCTTGTTAACGAATTCTATAGATCGAAAGGTTTTGTGTGATCGCACTGTTCCTGTGTGCATCAAGTGTTCCAAGTCCAAGCGACCATGTGGTGGTTATGGCATTCGTCTCGTATGGTCTCAGAAAAATCAACAAGAGAGCTCTCTGCCAACGCCTGCATGTTCGGGGACGCAGCACACGACAAGCCGACAGAGGACTGAGCAATGGGTCAATGTGTCGCAGACCGATGTCCTTCTCCATATCCTTGCTAGAGATGCTAAAGGCGGAGGTACGGCGTCTCAAAGCAAGCTGTTGACACGACTTGACGTGTGATTAGTAAAAAGCGAGCATGTTGAGAGATATAGGCTTGCATTGCCCAGGCTTACCCAGACCATGGCCCCGGTACCGAAAATGATCACTGCTAGCGATGCGGATCTAATACAGTATTGTATGTCCTCTTATGGGGCAGACTGCTTCAATATTAACTAGCCGCAGTTGAGGACGTGATGATCGGTATCCTACCGACCCTGGGCCGTGAAAAAGCAGGCATCGGACGGCTGTTGTTGCGCATGGCCTTATCCGGGCGATCAAAAGCGTCAAAGGCTTTACTGCTATCGGTTGTCGCACTGGCCTCGCGTCATCGCGGAAACGATGCGGTGCATGCGGCCCGTGCAAAGAACGCAGCTATAGACGCGTTGATAAGTGCCACAAGCTCTGAAATGGACCATGATGCCAGTATTGAGCACATTGCCACTGGGCTGACTTTGTGTTTGGTAGAAGTGAGTACTCATCCGGAAAAGACAAGGACGAGACTGACGCATTACCGTCACAATCATAGACAAATCTCGACTGCGATTGGATAGGTCATTTGTGCGGCGCAAGAAACGTCTTACCTACTGTCGAACAGAAAGCATACCACATTGGGAGCGACGCAGCCATCATGCTAGAGTGGCTTTACTACTTTGTCACCTTCACCCGCTTCAGCTTCCGTCATTGGCGCACCTATATGATTCGAGCAACCTCGCAAGAGCTTGGCATCAATGGCGCAAGCCCCCATTGTGTCATGCAGTATCGTATTGCTCGAATGTTGGTAGCAAAAAATATGGCGGCTATCTCCACATACGTTCATCCGGTAGTCCAGCTTCTCGCCGACGTCTTAGACACACGGCTGTACGCTTCCGACCCGCACTACTATTCAGTGGAATATCAACAATCTTTGGACGATCTCAAGGTTCGACTGAGCGACGTTGAAGTCGTCAATCAGAAGGATGGAGGAGACGACGATCAGTCTCGCTGTCTAGAACTAACCCGACTAGCTGGCCTGATATACCTCGAGCGCGTATCTCGAAACTTCTCAGGCGAATCCACCAGGATAGAAAGCTGGAAAAAAGATGCGGTCTCCATAATTGCCAGCCTGAACACATATCCGCCATCGTTCGCTATATTCATCGTCGGATGTGAGACGCATACGGACGAAGAGCGGATGGTCGTGCTTGACTTCTTTACGAGACTGGAACAGCATCCTCACTTGAATAGCTTACTGGAGGCGAAAGGCTTGGTCCAGACAGCCTGGATTCAACATGACCTTGGGGTAGAGGGCGAGCTCGAGTATATTCACAAGCTCAACTTGGTTTTGAGCTCGCGCAATGTGATACCGAGCTTCATGTAGCTCATTCTTTAGACTAAACCATCATGTAGTCACTGCGCCGGTCCATCTTAATCTTGCGTTCGAATCCCATGATTATGTGCACAAGCAGAACCACAGCCTCCTTGCACTCTACAGCCTTTTTAGTAGGGCATCTAGACTACCCGTTTTTCTTCTGCGACCGTGACTTCTGTTCTCACGACGTTGTGCTAATATATCGCGGAGCAGAGGATCGTTTTCATCTTCGGTTGGATGAAGGACGCGTACATGTCTAGAGATAAGCTATTAGCAATGGCTAAATGCCAGCTCGAGCTTCACGTTCAACGTACAGTTGCAGGGCATCAGGTTGCGGGTAAATCTGTCCGATATCGGGACCGGCGCAGAACGGACAAATGTATCCTGAACATTGATGGCCGACAAGACTATGACGTATCATTTTGTTCTTGCTCTCAAAACCTCTTCCGCCTGGGCCTCTTGTACAATCAGTGACCGGGCAGTAATGTGGGTTATCCACCGAGTGTCGTTTCGCATGTGTGCTGCTTTCGTAAGTGAACGTAGATAGAGTTTGAGAAGTTGCGTACTTGAGCAGGTACTGTGTTTGAAAGGGCTGTGCGGCACAGCCCGGGTGATCACATTGGAAGTGTCTTTTGTGGACAAGCGGTGAATGGGATTTGTAGGCCTTTTGCTTAGCTGCCTCAGTCGCTATAGCGGCTTGCTGCTCATCAAGTGGTAAGGTTGCGATTCTGCTGGCCTCACACTCTCTGCGATCATTCTCCCGTTGGTCTATCAGAAGGTCACCAGATGAGGAACTGGTTGGCCCTGTGGTAGCTTCAGTTAGCTATATGGTTTGTGACAGAAACAAACATGGAACTATACCATACCGTCATTGCCCAAGGTAGAGCTCGCTCCACTCACCATCTCCTTGATCCAAGACACAATGCGATCAACCGCACCAAGATGCCGAATTCGATTCAAGCCCAAAGGTCGAGAATTGGGGGGAGTACATGTGAGAGCATGCTGATGATCTGTGAAAACTCTGAGCTCTTCCAACGAATGTTCCCCCACGAGAAGGTCATGCGTAAGACTATGTAATAAGAAAAAGTCGACAGTGACATTGTTCTTCAGTGCTATGACAGAAGAAGACATCTCAACCGAAGGGATGGAAAGCTTCGTACGCACAAATCCGGTAGTGACCGACATGCTACCATCCGCTAGTTCGACTATTTCCTCTCCCGGGTAGACTTCAAGACCACGTTCTCTTGCAAAAGAGGGTGACATCAAGTCAATGTCCGATCCAGAGTCTGGGGTCGCCAGAGTTTTCATGGAGTTCAATTCGCAGTCCAGCAGACGCCTTGGGACGCCCACAGAGCATACAGAAAGTGCTTGATATGCTGGCCTTGGCACACGTACAAGTCTTTGCCTGTGTTCGGTCATCGTCTTGGTTTGCTCCAGGAATTCCAGACCCATGATAATGGGTGACGCAGCTTTGAGGAGAATATAGAAGACACATTTCCAGGTCCCTGATGCCACTGACTCTGTACCGAAGGAACATATTGATTCAACTTGACCAATAGCTTCAACAAGCTTACCGTTGGCTAGTGTGAACTGCCTCTTCTCTGACATTGTGGCGTAGTTTGAGTATCCCAATGTTCTTGCCACATCATTCGACATGATATTGACATCGGCACCAGTATCTGCACAAGCCAGTACTGTAGCTAGAAGGTCATGGTTGTGGATCGTGATAGGTAAGCCCAAGCGGGTCTTTCCAGGTCTACGAGGGTTGATCGGGATTTTCCGTGGAGCTGATAGCGGTAACTCTGGACTGTCAATCCGAGAAAGCGGATCGTCAAGGGGGGCCGTGGCAAATGGGTCAGTCCTCAACTGAGCTTCGTTACGCGTCTGGTGGTTCAGTAGAGTGCTCGTTGGCGTCTGTAGTGTTCGCCGCTCTTGTGGACTCTGTCCAAAAAGTTGTTCCTGAACTCATGTTAGCCATATATCTTACTTGTCGATTCTCGTACTCACGACAGGCACCCCATTGATATCGATGTCCATGTACGTCCGATCGAGGTGTTCGTAAAGTGACCGAGGCATAGCTTTCCATACCAGGTTACGAGGAAACCCTCCTAGTTTGCAAAAGTTTGGCAACTATTGGAGAAGAAGAAATCGTCTTTAACAATTTCGTGGGTCGAAGGATGGTGGTGGTGAGGCGGCGACTATTGTATAGCTTATTGATCAGGGCTGCGCATGCAGTGGCGGGGTCATGGCATAGCCCAAGCCACTGACCGGTCAGCGTTGCCAACACAGCTCAGCCTTCTGTAACTTCTGGGAGAAATTGGAGTTTCCCATCTGCTTTCACGGTTATGCCCAATAGACAAGGTGACGCAGAATCGCGATTGCATCATCTTTCGGGATACCCCTCTCTCGCGCACTTCATCGCAAGCGATCGCGACCGCACGACTCTAATCTACAAGCGATACGATGAGCTCGCTGCAAGGAACCTCCTCTACCTACAAAGCGAGCTTGCCGAGCTTCAAGCAAGACAGTTTGTACTAGACCAGGCTGACCTCCACGCGAACCTGGAGACAAAGCAATGCGCAAGGAATTTCGCGGACTTTCAGAAGGCGACGGAGATCAACGATGTAGATCAAGAAGAGCGATGGAAGTTAATGAAAGATATCCGAGAGACTTTGAAAGAGTACCGAGAAGCACTACTGTTCGAGAGCACATTAGCAACACTTCCAAGACCACCCAAAGGAGTTCTACGCGCTTTCCAAATGGAATTTTACAACCAGAGTGACGGCAAAGGAGAGCCGTTTCCCACCCTTGGAGGACATAGTGCAGGAATATACGACGATATCGATGACTTGGTCGCTCTACGGGTACAAGACGATCAAGACCGCTTGACCACCTTCGCGCAGGAGCATTTGGCGTTCTTGTTTCCAGTAAGCGGCGCCATTGTGAAAGGGCGGTAGTAGCTAATAGAAGTACCGTAGGATCGCAAGCGCTCCGGCAACGGCATAGCCTACGCATCGGACCGTGCCATTAGCTCCTTTGTAGCGTACTTCAGCACCTTATTAGCAGCACTACTGCTTATCGGCGCCATTGTTATACTTTACAAAGTAACATCTCCGGACTGGAGACTAGGGCTGATAGCGACTTTCACCACCTTATTCGCTGCGAGCGTGGGCCTGTTGACGAATGCGCGGAGAGCGGAGTTATTCGCGGCAACGGCTGCGTATGTATGCCACTCTCCAGGTGCTCAGAGGATATGGCTAATTCGGTGATGTGTAGATACGCGGCGGTCCTCGTAGTCTTCGTAAGTGGGGATCTAGGAAACAGTCAATCGAGCATGGCGCCTCCAGGCTAAACCAATCAATAATGATATTACAAAGTTACAACAAGAACGCTGCTTCTATATGCCAGCCATCACCCAAAAAGGTCAAGATCACAAGACATCGACTATGTCAAGCTTCCGCGACAGAATCCTTTGTCGCCGTATCTCAAGCGCGCGAAGAAACTGAAGTAGGTCTAACAGACCCCGCACCACTCTCCCTCCTCCCCCAGTTCCTCGGCTGCCTCTTCAAGAATGCACCCACGGCGCCTAGGTATCCCTCATGCCTCAAGAAGTACGCTTGCCGCGTATCCTTCGACCAGAAACGAATGGCATAGGATAGCGTATTCATCGTCTGCGAGTGACCGCCGATGAAAGAGCCTCCAAAGTATATCCGAGGCAATCCATGTTTCTCAGCATGTAGATGCGCCAGCTGACCGATATTGTTGGAAACAGCGTAGAGGAGTGACCGCGCCATATCTTCTGGACGGAAGGAACCAGGGTCGTGGGAGAGTTCCGCAGAGCCTTCGACGTGCTCTGCTTCTTCTCTGCGCTTGAGATCGCCGTTGCATCCATCTTCTGCTTCCCGTTCCGCTGCGCGTTTCATCTTGTAGACTTTGCCAAACGACGACGCGATATGTGTACTCTTGAGCCCGATCTTGTTGTACGCCTGTCCGTAGATATCTCCAACGAGTAAATCGACGGTGGAGTTGTCGCCGTTCTCCGCAAGTCGGAGCATGTCGTCGAAGCTGCGTGCGCCGGTAAGCAGCGATAAGAGGCCCCAGAGTGTTCCTCCTCCTAGTGATGTTCCGCCTATGCGCTCGTATTGTCGGGGCCCTGAGACTTTGATCATGGATACGCCGGAGCCGATGTTGACGAGGAGGTAGGGGTAGATGTTCGGTGGGTCGGGAGGGTGTGGCATGAAGGTCATGGGGCTGTCTTCGCTGTACGTGAAGACTTCATTTGGTATCTCGTTGATGAAGAAGTCGAGGCCTGTAAAGCGTCGAAGTTAGCATGCTGGTTCTCTGTCCATAGACAATCCTGTGTCCTTACCTATGATCAAGCATTCCATCTCGTCTTCCCGTATGACTTCTACATCCAGCGCCTGCTTTATCTTGTCGTGGTACTTGAACGCACCACCCCCAGTCGCCATGATACACAGGTCCGGCGACTTGGATCCATTGTCGTGCTTCTGATCAGCCTGGAGCTTGCGCATGAACTCTATGCACGCATCTATCCGGTCTGTCTCGAACTTGAAGAAGTTTAGACGTCCGCCGATCGCATCGTCGCCCGGCTCGCGCGAGAAGTATACAAGTTTGGCTAGAGAGCCTCCTATCTGCGATGCGCACGATGTATTAGCATGCTGCTATGACTCTGCAAGGGACTGGTCGCTGTGAATGGTCGCGTGCCACGACCAATCAAGCACACGACCACGCAGGTACACTCACGTCGACGGCTACATGGCTGACTACCGAAGTGTGGTTCGGCAGTCTGATGTCGTGCGGGTCGTGTTCGTAGTCCTCGCTCTGGGGCGTCCCCGGCTGCTCCTCGTCTACGATAAAGGCCCCCTGGACGTTGATGCGCACGTTGCCCGGGTGTTGTATCGTGTCCTGGATGTCGCTTTGCGCGGTAGTCCGTCTCGGGCGTCCCGGTTCCGGGGTCGACGATGTCTCTATAGGATGCGCACGCGATCCTTTGGTGCCGGTTTCACCCGTCGCGGGGTCCAGCGCAGGCGACATGGATGCGGATGTTCTGGGTCTTGGCTGCAGCTTCGCCCTCTTACAGCGATGGCGCACGCTCAGAGGTCGACGGCGTCTAGCGGAGAGATGGTGTTGGGATGGCGATTGTGCGAAGGGGGAATGGGGCACTGGAGTCGCTGCTGATAGCGATAGACGTTCCATTTGTCCGCTTTGTAACGGACCTTATGCCCTGGGCAAGACGTGACCTGAAGTTCTGCGCAGAATAGAGCCCAAGGTACGCAAATCTCCCGCTGCCCCTATATAACGGCAGAGGGTGGAGCGCCGAAGAAGAACATATATATCCTCCATGTTCATCGGCGGAATGGAGACTGTATATCTTGCGATGCGTGCTGATTACCGAGATCGGGGCAATGTTAAGCTCGGCAACTGGCGTGAGGCGTGATGGGGAACATCCGAGGACCGACTGGGGAGGTTTGTGGGGATACCGCTCACCAACTTCGGTGCATTTAGTAGACTTGAGTAATCCATCATTATATATCGATCGCGGTAATTAGGCGAAGGATATGATAAGGGCCATTTCTAGTAGCTGAAAGCACACGTGCAGCCACACCAAGTGCACAGGTAGGAAACTTCAATTCGAGTACGTCATTATAGACTTCAACTCTTAGCTGCAAAATGTACATGATTCGAGCTTCACCCGTTCACGCCTTCCTGCGGCACAGTCCATAGTCTCGTACCTGCATACACCCGCGCACCAGGTAGGTAACAGCCGATGACGTCGTGCGCCCGTACCCTCTCTACCAACTTCACAAGCACGACAATCTTCTACCGTACATTCACGCGACGCCAACCCCATATTCTACGCTTGAATAAGCTATACCAATCGTTACCACTACAATATACCAAAAGCTTCAGCAAGATGTCGTGGATGGACTCCTGGTCGCGGCCCAGCAAGCACGCCGTCACCCCACCACCCCTCTACCTCACCGTCGGCGACACAGTACCCTACTGCCACAGCTGCGGACGCGTAATCAGCGAGCGCCGCAAGACTCGAAACGCAACGGCAGTCAAATACTGCTCAGCACGATGCCGAAATAGCAAACCAGGTCCCACCGACCGCAAGATCGAAGCCACATTCGCCGCCCTTCTCAACGGCGCAACCCCAGAATCACTAAAAGAAAACGCCGGAGCAGACCCCGTCAAGAACAATGGAGAATCAGAAGCTGCAAATGATGATGCTAAGTTCGGCAAAGGCGAGAAGAAGCATAAGAAAAAGCCATCCAAGACTGTCAAAGGAGAAACTAGAATCATCATCGAATGCGGCACAGTAGAAGAGATAGTCTTCCAGCGGGAAAAAGACCCCGAGAAAGTATACGGTCGACGCAAGAACCGTAAAGCACGTTTCGTAGTCGAGAGGCCTGAGGATTGGAAGAGCGTTGATATGGTCGATCAACCTGCGTCTAGCACACCTGCCACTACAGCCACGACAGACGTATCATCAGCATCAGCACCACATCAATCCCAACAAGACTACACCAGCGACGATGAAAGTGTATCAGATTCTGACGCCGAAGCCGAAGGCGGCATAGTCCTCGAACCCACCAAAACAGCCTCTTCTACAGACGCAGACACAGACCCCTCCGCCCTCCCCGACACCGTAGAATACGGCTACGGCGGCGGAAAAGTGCGCCCGCCCCAAGCGCAAAACGACGTCAATGGCAGCGTGGGCGGAGAAAAAGGCTGGGCTGAACGCATCGAGGAGACCGACGAGATGAAGTTGAAGCGGAGGGAGGGGCAGCGGAAAGCGGATGAGAGGGAGATGGTACGCAAAGCGGCGAGAAGAGGTTGTGCGTTTGGGTTTGCGGTTGAGGGAGAGAGTGAGAAGAAGAAGTGTGAGGCTGTTATGAAGGGCGTGGTTGTTGAGAGTAGTTTTGCGAAGGGGGAGTGGGGGGTTCGGTGGAGGGAGATGGTATGAGTGTGAAGGACATTGCCTGATAACCAAGGCAAATCAATGTCTGAGAACTAACAACTGTACGATTGAGTAAAACGCCGATATAGCGGCAGTGGGTATCAAGAATATTCAACCAAAAACGCCTTTGTCCTGGAGATCCTATCCAAGCGGACGACCCTTCAACGATCATCTAGCAGCCCTTTCCCAAGATCCATCTTCATGCATTACCCACCCAGCGGCCATTAAAGCTTTGCCTTCCTTCATGCCCGGATGGATGATCATCTCAAATCCTGGTCTTAGTCCAGCTCCAGATCTAAAAATTGTGTTAGCATAACCATTCCATGCTTTCGGTCCCTGTTGTGAAGGGAGAGATAAAGAGACATACCTGATCATATGCAAAGCCATCGTCCTCGCCTTGTCCTTCAAATTAACCTGATTCCTATTGATCAACCTCCTCGGCCCATGATCATCCTGATCATGCTGCAGAATCTTCGAGTATTTCCCACGGTACATGTTCATATACTGTATCAGTGCGTCTTCTTCGTCGTCGGTCCACTTTTGGCGCCCTTTGCGCTCGGCCCTTTCTTGCGTCGTGACTTCGAGAGCGCGGTTTTCTTTTGCGAGGCGCCGTTGGTCGGGCCAGGTGGATGAGGGCGGTTCTTCGGACATGGAGGGCGCAGAGGTTTCGGAGATTGATTCTTCTTGTTCGGATTCTGGGCGGGGAGGTGGTTGGTAGCTAGTTGGTGCTGCGGAGGAAGAGGGTATGGGTTCGGCGGTGCGCTGTTTCTTTGAGACGGGCGCGTTGCGACGCCGTTCTGGGGCACGGAAGCCGCGGTCTGCGGTTTCGAATTCGTCGGATTCAGAGTCGGAGATGTCGATTACGCGCTTACGTTTGCGTGGGGATGGCAGTGCGGGTTGCTTTCCTTTGGCTGTATTTGACGGGCCAGGTGTTGGCTGGGTGCTGTCGAAGCCGTCGCCGAATTCGATGCG